CCCTAGAGGACAGAGTGGAACTGCCTCACAGGGTTTCCAAGGCTGTCTTCACATGGAAGCAAAGCCCAAACCACTGGAGTCAATTCTGACTCACAGCACCCCTAGAGGACACAGTGGAATTGCCCCACAGGTTTCCAAGGCTGTCACCTTTACCAAAGCAAAGCTCAAACCAAACACCCTGCCTTCGAGTTGATTCCGACTCACAGCATCCCTAGAGGACAGAGGAGAACTGCCCCACTGGCTTCCCAAGTCTGTAATGTTTACTGAAGCAGACTGTCTCATCTTTCTCCTGCAGAGCACTAGGTGGGTTCAAACTGCCAACCTTTTGGTTAGCAGCCCAATGCTTTAACCACAGCACAATCAGAGCTCCTTTTATGTACATCATCGCACTGAATTCTCAAGACAGCACTGTAATTCTTTTTCAAAAAAATCCAATTCCTTTTAATGCTGCCCATTGTACAGCTGGGGAAAGCAAGGCATAGCAAGGTTGAGTAACTTGCTCAGAGTCCCACAGCGATTAAGCAGGAAATCAGGTTTCAACCTGGTGGCTTGTTTCCAAAGCCCACCTGCCCAGTCCAGGAAGCTGCTTTGGTGGGTCTCTGTGGCTGCAGGGGCCGAGGGGCAGGCCAGGAGAAGATGTGCCTAGGGGAGGCCAGGGAGCCCAGACACACGCAGTGTTTACAAGCAACACAAGGGTCCGTCAGCCCTGAGCCTGGAGCAGAGAGTGATTCCGTTCAATAAATCAGAAAAGGCTATCCTGAGACCCAGCTGGATTCCATGAAGAAAAGCCATTCCCATCCCCACCATCCCGGGCGGGCAGATCCAGTAAAGGGGGTGGAGGGGGCAGAGACACATGGTCCCTGTCATTGGGCTTGATGACTCGGGGTGGGTGGGATAGTCCCTCAGGTCCAAGCCCAGGAGTGAGCAGAAGGCCAGGCCTTCTCTGGTCTAAGGAGTGACATTGGGTGGGGAGAGGGCACCAGGGCCATTCCTAATGAGACAACAGCCAACACCTTCTGGCACGTGAGAAAGGTGGAAACTCCTTGGGAAGAAGGTGTTTCTTTGACAGCATCCACACTAACCTTGCCAGGGTGACTAGGGGTGACTAGGGCATGAGCCTGGAATTCTGTGTCCCCAAGCAGGAGGGACACAGGGCTGTGTCTTCAGCCTGACATCCCATCCAATGCACCCCTGGTCTTCCTCCAATGGGCAAAAATGGGAGCGCCCTCGAATTCTCCACTAGTATCATATTTCCTTTTTTTTCCTTTTTACTTTGGTGCATGGATTTTCAATGAGGGTGGCTGTTAACCAACCAGACGAGCCTAAACTGGGGGCTTTCCGGCAGGGCTGTATGCAAACGTGTAGGGCAGAGGGTAGGATGGAGAGGCCAGAAGGGGTGCAGGGGGAGGAGGCCCCACCGTGACTGCCTGCCTGCTCAGGCCAGGCTCTTTCTGGGCTCAGAGGATGCACAAGAGGGTCAGGTGCAGGCCCAGCCTTGAGGATGGTCCACGTGGTGGCAGCAGAGAGGAGGCTGGGGCACATCAGTGTGGGGTGACCCTGATGGTGAGGAGCAACACGCAGGTGCCCACCAAGCCAAGCTGCGAGTGCAGTTAAGGGTTAACTCAGCAGGTCTGGCTTGTCCACACACAGCTGTTCCAAGAAAGGTTTGGTCCTGGTCAGGCTCCTGGAGGTGACCTCAAAGGCCTTGGAGGTCCTGTCTGACAGGCGCATTTTGCTTACGTGCACGCCATTGGCCGGCCAGATGGTCCACAAGTATCAGCCTGACCTCTGGAGGAACTAGGGCCTAGGTCAGCCATGCTGGCAGTCAGCCATGACTATGTGACCAACGCCTAATAAAAACAATGGCATTTGCACCACAAGCCACCTGGACGGCCACAGGCCTCCCGTTTAGACCTTCTGCTCCTTCTACCACCCAGGGCCAGGGCCAAGGGGGGAGTCTGGCTCCCCACGGGGCTGGTCACTCTTTCCCCTTGAGCTCCGGATTCCAGCCATCACGTCCCTTTTTAGGTCAGACCCCCAGAGCCCTCACAGGCTCGTCCCTGCGCCCCGCCCCACGAGGTAATAACCAACCCAGTCCTCACTGCGTAATAATCAACCAGCTCCGCAAACTCTGTGGATGCCTCAGGAAGGTTTAATCTCTCGTCCTTCGTGACTGATGAGGGCTGTGTTCAGTTAACGAGGCATTGATTTCCCTGCAGCTGGCCAGAGCACTTGCTGGGAGTTATTTTATTATGAAACTGATCGCTTTCCTTTTACAACACAGACATGCATGCAGGTACACGTCCACAGACACAGACACGCACAGAGGCACAGTACGTGTGTCTGTGACACACACACACACACACACACACAGAGGTCATGGAGACCCCCGCCCAATGTCCAGTCCCCCTGGCATTTTCCCTGCCTCCCCTCTGATTCAGCCTCCGCCTCACCCCCACCCAGCTCCCTGATGATGTGCCAAACGGGGGTGGGGGCAGGGAGGAGGGCAGGGGCATCGAGGATCTGCCAGCCACACCAGGGTCAGAGCAGAGAGGACACTCGCTTCACACTGTAAAGGAAGAAAACCCACACTATACGCAACCACTGCATGTAAACAAAGGACCCCTAGCAGTACAATGGTTTCTACTTGACCACTGACCTAAACGTTGGCAGTTCAAACCCACCTGGTGGCTTCAGAGGCTGGGCCTGGTGATCTGTTTCCATAAAGAAAACAGCTAAGAAAACCCCATGGGATTCAGTTCCACTCTGTAACACATGGGGTCTCCATAAGTTGGAATCAACGTGATGGCAACAGGTATATGTAGATAAGTATATTTTTATTTATTTCTTATATTTTATACATAAGGCATTCGACTGCTAACCAAAAGGTCAGTGGTTCAAACCCAGCAGTCACTCCTTGGGAGAAAGATGAGACAGTCTTCTTCCGTAAAGATGTATAGTCTTAGAAACCCTGTAAGACAGTATAGGGTTGCTATGAACCAGAATCAACACCGTGGCAGTGGATTTGGTTTTTGGTTTCTTCTTGTTGTTGTCAGGTGCCGTCGAGTCAGCTCCTACTCAAAGCGACCCCATGTGCAACAGAACGAAACACTGCCCAGTCCTGCGCCAGCCTCCCAATTCCTGCTGTACCTGAGCCCATCGTTGCAGCCACCGTGTCAGTCCATCTGGTTGAAGGCCTTCCCCTCTTTCGCTGACCCTCCACCTTACCAAGTATGACATCCTTCTCCAGAGAATGGTCCCTTCTGACAACATGACCAAACTAGGCGAGATGAAGTCCGGCCATTCTCGCCTCCAAGGAGCATTCTGGCTGCACTTCCTCCAGGACAAGCTTGTTAGCTCTTTTAGCAGTCCGCGGGACTTTCAGCGTTCTTCACCAACACCACCGCTCAAAAGCAGCCATCTTCTTTGGTCCTCCTTTTTCATTGTCCAGCTCTCAAATGCACATGAGGCGACTAAAAACACCATGGCTTGGATTAGACGCACCTTAGTCTTCAAGGAAACATCTTTGCTCTTCAGCACTTGAAAGAGGTCTTTTGCAGCAGATGTGCCCAGTGCAATATGTCATCTGATTTCTTGACTGCTGCTTCCATGGGTGTTGACTGGTTTTTGGTTTATATTATTTCTTTATATATTTTTATTATATTTACTTAGACTTTCCTGTCCACCTCTGTGTTCTGGAAGTCATGGGTGGTGGCGCCACGGTGGGGTGGGCGAGAACAGCCCCCCAGGGGTCTGCGGTGTGAGTACCAGGGACAGGGGACACGTTACCTGTTAAATCCCTTTGGGCTCAATGTTAAAAGACAAGTCTCAGTGCCCGCAGGGAGACTAGAAAAGCAGTTTTCAGTTTTTTAATAAAGCTGACTTTTTTTTTTTGCATTTGGAATCAAAAATAACTCACTTCATTACCCAAAGTCAACAATTTTGGGGGATCTCCTTCCTGCCATCTTTTCTGCACTTATTTAATTTTTGTTGGATTTTATTATGCAGTTGTAATGCAATGCTATTTATAATTACATCACGTGCTTTTTCTCACTTAACATTAAAATCCCAGCGTTGCCCCATAAACGTGCTTTTTAACGACCTCACAGAATCCCGTGTGGAAGCGCCATCACCAGGCTGACGGCTCATTCCCTCGCTGCGGCCATTTAAAGCGTTGCTCCAGCTTTCTGATGTTATTAACAAGGCCGCGGCGTTCGTGAAAACCGTTTGGAAAGTTAAGATCCTTTTCTGAAGATGGCTTTGCAGGAGAGATACCAGCAGGTTGGAGGCGAGACCAGTCTCCCACCCACGCAGCCGCTTGCTGTCCCCCTGGGTGTGCCACCTGCCGCCCCAGGGGCCCAGCCGGCTCCCTCCTTCCGCCAGCAGCAGGGACTTCACACTCCGACAAGTCCAGCCGCTGGGTGCGCCATGGTGGGAGGTGACTGCAGACACAGCACCTCTCTCTCTTCACACCCAGATGCCGTGTGGATTTCACAGAGCGAATGGGAGCCACCTTGCCCCTTCTTCCCTCCCCAGCCCCTCCCTCCTTCCTACACAAACAAAAAAACTCACTGCCCTGCAGTCCTATCCTACTCATAGCGACCCCTCCTTGGGTTTCCCAGGCAGTGTCCCTACTGAAGTAGATGGCCCAACCTTTCTCCCTTTGTAGCAGTACTTATAAACCAAATAAAACGTTGCCTTGGAGTCGAGTTTGACTTCTTGACTCACAGCAACCCTACAGGACAGAGGGAAACTGCCCTATAAGGTTTCCTAGGCTGTAATCTTTACCGGAGCAGATGGCAAGTTTCTTCTCCCCAGGAGCGAGCGACTGGTGGGTTCAAACTGCTGACCTTTTGGTTAGCAGCCAAGCGCTTAAGCGCTGCACAATCAAAGCTCCAGGTGGGAAGACAGCAGCCAGGAGCCTGAGAGAGAACAGGGCCAAGTCAGCGAGCCGCGGGGCTGCCGGGCAGGGAGGCGGCAGGGGAGGAGCCCGGACTCACCTTCAACACCTCCTTCTGGTTGCAGGGGGGAGGGGTGCAGTGGGGGTGGAGAGAGGAGGTGGGTGCAGACAGAAGTTCTATGGACAAGAGGGCCATGAGAGAGCTGACAATGGCAGGGACAAGGCCAAGGTCGAGACCCCAGCCGTGGGGCTGACGCTGACTGAGCCGGGAGGACTACACGGAAGAGGTGTGCGGTGCCGGGCACTCTGTGCCCAGCTGACTCCTGGGTATCCAGGTGGCGGGCAGCTGGATTTTCAAGGCTGGGCCCAGGGCTGCAGCCGGCAGGAGACATACATTAGGGAGCTGACAGCCTATGGACGGGGTCTTTTGAGCCACTAGAGTTTGGGGTTCGCTCCCACCACTTCCCCTCACTCACCAGGTCCCCCAGTTGACTGGGCTCCTCCCCCAACTCCAAACACAGCCTTCAGGCCCCAGCCCCAGGGCCAAGTCCTTGCAGGGGGTCTTGCTCAGTCCCCCTGCCTGGGCCCTTTGTCCACCTTGTCAAAGTGCCCCCTTCTTCCAGGCTCAGCCCACACTTGGCCAGAGCTGCGAG